AGTGGCTGGAACTACAGGCGTGTGCTACCACGTCCAGCTAATTTTTGATTTATTGTAGAGATGAAGTCTCGCCAAGTTGCCCAGGCAGGTCTCGAACCCTTGGGCTCAGGAAATCCACTCACCTCAGCCTTCCAAAGTGCAGGATTGCACGCTGAGCCACTGAGCCCGGCTCTAATAACATATTCTTTTTTTTTTTTTTTTTGAGTTGGAGTCTCACTCCATCACCCAGACTGGAGTGCAGTGGCCACTCCCGGCCACCACAGCCTCGACCTGCTGGACTCCGGCGATACTTCCTCCTCAGTCTTTCAAGTAGGTGGAACTACAGGCGCGTGCTACCACTCCCGGCTAATTTTTTTTTTATTTATTGTAGAGATGAGGTCTCACCAAGTTGCTCAGACGGGTCTCGAACCCGCGGGCTCAGGCAATCCACTCACCTCAGCCTCCCAAAGCGCGGGATTACAGGCTGAGCCACCGAGCCTGGCTTTAATAACATATTCTTAAGGTTTGCTTACAAAGGTGCTTCCCTGACAACCATTTCTACCTACTAAGAGAAAATAGTTTTAAAATATCCTACTCACTTCTAATCTAAACTATCAGCCTTGGCTTCTCCTCAGAGCTCTAGTCTGATATACTGTCTCCCCGTGGTGATTCATAGGCACTCCGAGCCTAATGTTGCCCCAACAAAATTGTTGATTTTCTCATCTTCCCAAACCTGCCATTCTCCCAATATTCTGTATCTATTTGAAGTTTAAACATTCACTTGTCAAGGTTCTAAATCTAGAACTGATCCTTGATTTCTCTTTCTCTTGCCACCCAATCTAATCCAAGGCCTATGGACTCCACAGGACATGTAGAACACACAGCCAGAATCAGCTCCATCACAACTACTCATGTCCATGACCTTGTCAGGCTTGGGTATTTGCACTAACCTTGCAGATAGCTTGTTCCTGGTCCTGATGCTCCCTCCTCTAAAGTTCATTCTCCAGACGGAGACAAATAAGATCATGACATTAGTCTCCTCAACACCCTCTGATGGTTTCCAAACTTCTAGCTTGCATTTGCCTTAAGTTACCATAAGCATACCCGGATCTGCCCTATGGATCCCTCATACCCCATATCAACTTTCTTGTCTAACACACTGTGCTGGATCGAAGGTGGATTCCTTGAACATGCCAGCTCATTACTGTATCGAGATTTTTACTTTCTCTATTCCCTCTGCCTACAATGACCTTCCTCTTGATCTTTCCATAACTGGATCATTCTGGATACTCCAATTTCAGCTAAAACATGTCCTTGGAGAGATTCTGCTTGGCCCACTTGCAAAACAGCTGCCCCAGGTACAGCCTATCTCACCAGATCCCTCCCTGTTTTATTTGTTCATTCACTTATTTCTTATCCTAAATACTCTCCACACCAGTATGGAAGTTCCATCAGACTACCACGTTCTTTCTTTCTTTCTTTCTTTCTTTTTTTTTGATTTGGAGTCTCACTCTGTCACTCAGGCTGGAGGGCAGTGGCATGCTCATGGGCTACCCCAGCGTTGACTTGCTGGGCTCAGGTGATCCTTTTACCTCAGCCTTCCAAGCAGCTGTAACTACAGGCATGCACTGCCATGCTCAGCTAATTTTTTGATTTATTGTAGAGATGAGGTCTTGCCAAGTTGCCCAGGCTGTTCTTGAACCTGTGGGCTCAGGCAAACCCCTCACCTCGGCCTCCCAAGTCCTGGGATTACAGACTTGAGCCACTGCGCCCACATTCTTTCCATGCTGTATTTCCAGAGTGACACTGTCCAAGAGTCACATAATGTGAGCTATAAGGCAGGCCACATATGTACCAACAATTTTTATAGTAGCCATGTTCTCTTAAAAGTAATTAATTTTGATAATTTATTTAATCCTACATACCAAAAAGAATATCATTAGAACATGTACCCCAAATAAAAGTCATTAATGGGATAAATTACACTCTTTTTATCATACCAAGTCTTCACATACACCAAGCTAAACCTATTCTTTACAGCCCATTTCAGGACAGGTAAGAAATATAGCAAGAGCTCAATAGCCATATGTGGCAAGTGAATGCTTCCTTGGACAACACTGCTCTAGAGTTTAGGAGGCATCTGTCATAAGGCAGACATTCCAACAATAATTTTTAAATTGTCAGACCCCAACTTACCACTAGCTGAGATCCTTTTCCTGTGCCCGCTGTTTTGGCTTCCTGTGGAACAACCTAGGCTCTGAGAGCTTCCGCAGATACTTTATTGGCAAAAGGGGGAGGAACAATGGAACTGGAGCCAATCAGATGACAGAAACTCTGGGCTTATTACAATTTACAGAGGTACTATGAATATGTTGTAAGAGGAAACTTCTAGAAACTTATATGTCCTAATAGCCCCTCATCTCTAACGTTCTGTGGGAGACTGGAAATATCAAGGGTCAGGAAATCTGAGTGTCCAGGCCACTTCTTCTTTAGAAATTTAAGAAAATGGTAATCCCAGCACTTTGGGAGGTAGAGCCAAGAGGATTGCCTGAGTCCAGGGGTTTGAGACCAGCCTGGGCAATTTGGCGAGACACCGACTCAACAATAAGTCAAAAAATTAGCTAGGCGTGGTGGTGCATGCCTGTGGTTCCAGCTACTTGAAAGGCATAGGCAGAAGGGTGGCCTGAGCCCAGCAGGTAGAGGTTTCGGTGGCCATGACTGTGCCACGCACTCCAGCCTAGGTAACAGAGTGAGATCTCAACTAAAATAAAATTAAAATTAAAAAATAGGCCAGGCTCAGTGGCTCAGCCTGTAATTTCAGCACTTTGGGAGGCTGAAGCAAGAGGACTGCCTGAGCCCAGGGGTTCAAGGCCAGCCTGGGCAACTTGGGGAGACCTCATCTCTACTATAAATCACAAAATTAGCCAGGCATGGTAGCGTCCACTTGTCGTTCCAGCTACTTGGAAGGCTGAGCGGAAGGATCACCTAAGCCCAGCAGGTGGAGCCTGCGGTGGCCATGATCGTGCCACTGCACTCCAGCCTGGGTAAGGGAGTAAGACTCTGTCTCAAAAGAAAAGAAGAAAGAGAGAGAGAGAGAGAGAGAGAGGGAGGGAGGAAAGGAGAGAGGGAGGGAGGGAGGAAGGGAGGAAAGGAAGAAATTTAAGAAAATGAAAAACAAAGACAATTACTGAAATTACTGAGGTGGGCAAAACTGGAAGCAAATGATAAAAAACAAAGATGATGATTAAGCAAAAACTCATTCTTTGGCCAGATTCGGTAACTCAGCCTGTAATCCCAGCACTTTGGGAGGCCGAGGCAAGTGGATTGCCTGAGCCCACGGGTTCGAGACCTGCCTGGGCAACTTGGTGAGACCTCATCTCTACAATAAATCAAAAAATTAGCCAGACATGGTAGCGTGCACCTGTAGTTCCAGCCACTTGGAAGGCTGAGGCGGAAGGATAGCTGGAGCCCAGCAGGTCGAGGCTGCGGTGGCCAGGAGCGGCCACTGCACTCCAGTCTGGGCAACAGAGTGAGACTCCAACTCAAAAAAAAGAAAAGCATTCAACCTCTAGCAGCCATTCGCCATTGCCTTACTAGACTCTTATGTGACTGTCGCCATGTTTCTTGGCCTTGGCCCCCTTCCCTACCTTGGGGAAGTGAATCTCCTCTTTTTCTTTCTCTCTCTATAATTTACTTTTTAAATAAACTATATTTTCCAATCTAACTTCTGTGCAATTTTTTTGCATCTTTCATATGATGCTGGATCATACACCAGACACCTACACTCCCAATGTGCCCAACTTAACATTCTGGAGGCCCCACTGGGAGTCTGACCTAACAGAGAGAAAAAATTTTTTCTGGAGTTTTGTCAGGATGTCTCCTTACTTGTAACTGATAGACTAGACTAACATGCTGATCCCTTCACCAATTCCTAGCAGAGGAAAAAGAAAGAAAGAAAAAAGAAAAGAGAAAAAATAAAAAGGAAATTGCCCTGATTGACTTAGGTCAATAATGAGTGACCCCCTACTATGGTGGCACATTGCCACCTGAATTAAAAGGAGTTCACTTATCAAGGAATAAGAGGTGGTAGGTACTGTATAGGTATAGGCCTCTGAAGCCTATACTTTACTGGCTCCTGGACATACAAAACTCAATTAGACATGGGCTCTGCCCTGGAGATACTGATCACCTGCAGAGAGAGATAAGATAGTGTGGTGATTAGTTACAGGAGTATGAGGATAGATATGGTGAAAGGAAGATGCCTGGTTTATTGTGAGATCCCACAAAGATAACAACTAACTCAGAATGACATCCAGAGTCACTTCCTGGAGCAGACAATATCTAAGCTGAGTCTTAAAGATTCAGATAAAGGGGAAGAAAAAAATGTATTCCAGGCAGAAAGGAGTGAAGGCATACAGGAAAGGGACCAAGAAATAGCAACTCACCTTTGAGTATTAGAACATAGATGATGAGGTAGAAAGCGATAAACAATGAGTGTGTAGCAAGTGACAGAAGAAACCTTCTGTTGGAGGGTCTTGAAGAGGAACTTGAAATTTCTCCTTAAGAACACGAAAACCCATTTAAGCAGGAGAAAGACTTGTCCAGAGTGTAGATCGGAAACATATTGTCCTAGAGTCCTACAAGAGGATGGATTTGAGAATATTCTCAACTGGAGGAAGAGATTGTAGTGTGGAAATTTTTGCAAGACATCAAGGTGAACATATTGAAGAGCTATTCAGGGAAGGAATGGTGTGACAGAGAGGAGGTGTCATTTAGGGAGCGATTGTTCAGGCTTGGTAGACTGAGCTTGGAGACTGGATGGCTTTTGGGGAATAAGAAAGAAAGAGGGTCCTTTATGAAACCTACATTCATGATTCACTATCACTGTATAACAAATCACCCAAAACACGGTGATATAAGACAACCATTTCATTATGCTCGTGAAATATGTGGGGTAATAATTTGGATAAGGTACAGAGGATGCTTTTCTCTGCCACTGAAGACTCAGAGGTTTGGGGGATGACTTGAAGGCTGGGGCCTGAAGTCACCTGGATCTCCTTTGTTTACATGTCAGTCATCTGTGTTGGAGTGACTCAAATGCTGGACTAGGCTGGGACTGCACCAAGTGCCTACATGTAGTCTCTACAGCATGGTAGTCCCAGGACAATCAGATTTCTTATGCAAAGTCTGCCTTTCTCCAGAACATATGTCCTAAAAAAAACTAGCAGAAGCTTTATGGCCTTTTCTGACTTAGATTCTGAATCAGAGGGCATAATTTATACCATATTTCATTGGACTAAGCAGTTCCAATCTCACCCAGATTCAAGGGGAGAGGGCATAGAACCTATCACTCAGTGGGAGAAGTGTCAAATAATTTTGTGGCCAATATAATTAAAACTATAGCAGGGTAATTGCATAGAATTGGAGGTCATAATGGGGATGGAAAGCCATGAGGGGAAGCAGATGGAAAACCATGAGGGGAAGCAGACTACATTAGTTTGCTAGAGCTGGACTAGATTGCTTAAATAATAGAAATTCATTTTCTCACAATTCTGAAGGCTAGAAGTTTAAGGTCGAGGTGTCAGTCAGCAGGGTTGGTTTCTTCTGAGTCCTTTCTCCTTGGCCATCTTCTCTCTCTGTCCTCACATGGTCTTTCCTCTTCATGTACCTGTGTTCTAATCTCCTCTTCTTATGAGGACATCAGTCATAATGGATTGGGATTAGGGGCCATCCTAATGCCCACAGTTTAATTTAACTACCTCTTTGATGAAGGTCCTATTGTCAAATACAGTCACATTCTAATGTGCTCAGGGTTAGAGTTTCTACATAGAAACTTTGGAGGAGACACAATTTAGCCCATAAAACAGAGTTATGGGAGAAGATGATAGCAGCAAATGCTGGAGATGAGACTGAAGGGAGAGATAAACCCAAGGTGATGGGTCTGGAGGTCAAGAGCAGGTCTGAACTAGAGACACAGAGTTGAGAAATGTTAGCTGAGGTGGTTGAAGACTTAAGCAAGGATAGGTTCACCACAGAAAATGTAAAACAGGAAATGAACTTTTTTGTATAATTGCAATATAGATACCATGCATTGCATTGGAATTTATGCTAAGTGATTTGTATCAGTTATTTTATTTGTTCTGCTTAAGAAAAGACCTCTGGGCCGGGCACAGTGACTCAGCCTGTAATCCCAGCACTTTGGGAGACTGAGGTGAGAGGATTGCCTGAATCCGGGGGTTTGAGACCAGCCTGGGCAACTTGGTGAGACCTCATGTCTACAACGAAAAAAATCACAAAAACTAGTCAGGCAAGGTGGCATGCGTCTGTAGTTCCAGCTACTTGGAAGGCTGAGATGGAAGGATCACCTAATCCCAGCAGGTCAAGGCTGTGGTGGCCATGCGCATGCCATTGCACTCCAGCCTGGGAGACAAGAGTGAGACTCCAACTCAAAAATTTAAAAAATTAAAATAAAATAAAAAGACCTCTGGGCTGGGCTCGGTGGCTCAGCCTATAATGACAGCACTTTGGAATGCTGAGGCGAGTGGATTGCCTGAGTCTGCGGGTTTGAGAACAGCCTGGGCAACTTGGCGAGACCTCGTCTCTACAATAAGAAATCAAAAATTAGCATGGTAGTGCATGCCTGTTGTTCCAGCTACTTGGAAGGCTGAGAGAGAAGGACTCCTGAAGTCCAGCAGGTCAACACCGGGGTGGCCGTGAGTTTGCCACAGTACTCCAATATGGGTGACAGAGTGAGACTCCAACTCAAAAAAAAAAAAGACCTCTGTAAGTATTATTACTCTCAGATGAAGTGACTGAGACTCAGTCACTCCAGTTAAATTCGGGTTCAAATCCAGCCCACCACCTATTTCTGTGTAGCCTAAGAGCCAAGACTGGCTTCTAAATTTTTAAAAAACTAAATCAAGTTTTTTAAAATTAGACTTTTTCTTTGACTAAGGCTTCTATGGCTTTTACTGGCTGAAAAAAAATCAAATAAAGAGTATTTTGTCGCATGTAAAATTATATCAAATATGGTTGAGGTGTCACCAAATAAAGTTTTATTGCTACACAGCCATGTTTATCACTTACACATTGCTTGTGATTGTACTCATGCTATAACAGCAGAGCCCAGGGAATGTGATGGAGACCTAAGGCCCATCAAATTATAATACTGACTATGTGGTTCTTTCACAGGAAAGGTCTGGGCCTGTTGGGTGAACAGACTTGTCCAGTCACAGAGCAAGAGAACAGTAGAACTGGAAATCCAGCCCAGGCAGTCTGGCTTCACCGTGTAAATTCTGTGATTCACCGAAAGA